ATCTATATCCACCTTCAGAAAGTTGGATCAGAAGGCTTGAATGGATTAAAAAAAAGAAAAAACCCTAATTCCCCAGATGCTCTGTGCCAAATGAAATACAGAATCCATGTAGCATACATGTGTCTTTACATGGATTGGCTGAGATCATATAACAAAGTGTCATGGGATAAACATTATCCAATTGTGCTTTGACTACAATGTTCAGTTTTGAAGAGTAACAGCTTTCTCATACACCCAAGAGTTTATATTTAATGTGGACAAACTAGATAGGACCAGCACCAAACTAGGAACATGTCTGATTGCAATAGGGATTTGGAAAAGTCCTACCTTGCCTCTATCTTACTTGATCTGCTTTGTGAAATTATAAGAAATGATGTATTAGAACACAGTAAGACACAGGTGTCTCCATATGGTGAGCGTGGTGGTACACGTTGCTAAAGCCACGAAACTAAACACAAAGAAAAATTACTCCGTGCTTACAGTAGTTTCAATAGACAGGTCTGCTCTTGTTTTAGAATCCAATAAGACATGTATTTCCAGAATTAGCGGTTAAGGTTGCTATATATGTGGGCCGAGCCCTTGTTTTTCCTGCAAACAATACTGTCATAGAAGGTAATACCTGCTCTAACTAGCTATGCAAGTTGCCAACCCGATTGTGCCTTTCTTCATATTAATGACAACCAATAAAAATCCTGGCTGCAGAGCAAACAAGAAAAATCTGGGTCTAATGCTTCCTACTCAAAAAGTAGATAGTAAAATTTAGTAATGTTTCAGACTATCAGAGAAACCCACATTGTTATTAATTACCTTTTTTTCCAATTGAATTGAACTGAACTTGCTCGGAAGGACTCAGAGTATGATTCTGTCAGTTAAAATTCTCACTGTAGCAAATATTAGGAGAACTTCCTTGGTCGCTGATCATTTGTTAAAATAGATTTAAATCTATCAAAAGCAGTCAAATTAATAATGATTTGGTATACTGTGGCCTTTCCTTGCACTATAGTATCTACCCTTGACCTTCATAAGATGCTGACTGAATAAAAGCAGCTATTTTGGTACTTATATGTTAAAATTGATAAATTTGACAAAGGATACTCAATGGCAGACCTTAAAATGACTATTTTGGAAAAACAGGACTAAATGCACCATTGAATTGCTAAACTCAAAACATCAAAAGATTTCAAGCAATCTCATTGGTCTGAACAAATAAAATGGGTGTTCAGTATATTAGAGTTGTTAATTAAAAAGGTAATGATCTGTCTAAAATCATCCTCAAAGCTCATGCCCTTTAGTAAAATTTGTTAGAAAAGCTGCTACCAGACTCCTGATTTTTTGCCACAATCTAATACAATTCTTTATCCTAGCACAACTGGGGTGCTACATATAAGTAGTCTTCAATTTATGATTGGTCATTTAACAACCATTTTCAATCATAATGGTCCCAGAATGCAATAGCAATAACACTTAGACTTATATACCACTTCATAGTGCTCTACAGCCCTCTCTATGTGGTTTACAGAGTCAGCATATTTCCCCCAACCATCTAGGTCCTCATTTTACCGACTTCGGAAGGATGGACGGCTGAGTCAACCTTGAGCCCGGTGAGACTCGAACTGCCAAGTTGCTGTCAGCCGGCAGTCAGCAGAAGTAGCCTGCAGTACTGCATTGTAACCACTCCCCACACGCACCACAGCTGGAAGCTGGCATTTTCTCTCTCTGGTGTTCCACTTAATGACCTACACAGTCGCTTAACAACTTGAACTGGGAAAGCCAAGATCCTGTTTGTGGTGTCTTACTTAACAATCGTGTCACTCAATGACCAAGATTTCAGGCCCAGCTGTGGTTTAAGTGGGGGTCTATCTGGACAATTGATCAGTCACATTTGCTTATGCTTAAATACAGATTTTATCTTCCTGGGCTCAAAGATCACCGCAGATGGGGACTGCAGCCAAGAAATTAAAAGACGCTTGCTCCTGGGGAGGAAAGCTGTGGCAAATCTAGACAGCATACTAAAAAGCAGAGACATCACCCTGCCAACAAAGGTATGTATAGTCAAGGCCATGGTTTTCCCAGTTGCAATGTATGGCTGTGAAAGTTGGACCATATGAAAGGCTGAGTGCCAAGGAATTGAGGCCTTTGAACTATGGTGCTGGAGAAGACTCCTGCGAGTCCCCTGGACTGCTAGGCGATCAAACCAGTCAGTCCTAGAGGAGATCAACCCTGACTGCTCTTTAGAAGGCCAGATCCTGAAGCTGAAACTCAAATACTTTGGCCACCTAATGAGAAGGAAGGACTCACTGCAGAAGAGCCTAATGCTGGGAAAAATTGAGGGCAATAGAAGAAGGGAACGACAGAGAATGAGGTGGATGGATGGAGTCACTAAGCAGTAGGCGTGAGCTTAAATGGACTCCAGAAGATGGTAGAGTACAGGAAGGCCTGGAGAAACGTTGTCCATGGGGTCACGATGAGTCAGACACGACTTCGTAACTAACAACAAAAATACAGAGGTTGAAACTGTACCATTGTGCGTTTACAATGTCCCTTATATTTCTAATATAGCTTCAGGTGCTCCTGTGGCTATGAGGTTATCACTCTTTTAAATTTAATTGATCACCAGAAACCTATTAGGTTGCAAAATTGCCATTAATAGTTATAAATTTCAGAACTCACTACTTCTTCCTTGTTATTGTTTCAGGATTTTTATATAATTTTATCCTTTAAAATTATATCCTTATATAATCCTGCTACATTTCTTTTTATGATTGGTCTTGGGTAATAATTAACTAGATAACCAAGAACTAGAAATGTAGAGAAATTATAATATTTATTTTTAGTTCCTAATAGGTTACCTAGAACTCAAAAAGACCGAGAACTGTAGTGTGGCTTCTTTCCTTATAACTAGTTTAATGGATTGCTTTTTGTGTTACCCCAAGAATATAAAATTTAGCCATTTCAATAGAAAAATCCTACATTAGAAGAATTTCATGCCACTTGAAGCTGAAACTTTATTCTTTGAAGATATACTCCCTCCAACTATCAGATATTATTCAAGGCTTTAGTGAATTATCTTCTTTAACATAGCATACCATATAATTATCTCCATCTTTCTCAATATAAAATGTTCCTCTGCTTTTACTTTCCACTTACTAGCGTAATTAGGTAATTTGCCTTAAAGTTCAAGTTAACAGAGTTTTAAATGCAGATATCAGCCACTTCCTTTTCATTCCAAAATGGAAAGCAAAAGACAACCGGAAAATTTGCCCAATTAAATGTAGTGTTCTAGATCAGAGCAAGAAAAGACAAGAAGCTATAAACAAAGCAAATGCATTTGGCTGTTCCCCATTTTGCACATACACTTGAACATAGATATTGGCTACTAAATTGTGCATTTTTTGAAAACCTAAACCTTCACAGGGCTTTGTAGTGGGCCATAAAGGGTGCTTTGCAGGATGCATTGACAGTACATCGATAACATTTGTGCATGTCAAAATGTGTCATTCGTTATACCTTTAAAAGGAGTAATGAACGGAAGTGGCTAGGTTTCATGAAACAGCATGGAAGATCTACTGAATCCTGATGGGTCAATTTCCTGCTTTATAAATGTATTCTCTGTAATCTTAGATTTTTATTTTTTTCTACAACTTTATATATAACCACAATTTACTTAAAATTTAAATATGATCTTATTTTTGCAATTTTAGATATTATTGCATTTTACATAATTATAGAGTCTACTTTATAACTATATCTACTTTATAGATGTAGATTACTCAGTTTGACCTAGTTAGGTTGTTTTATAAATTTATTTTTAACTTGTCTTAAATTTTATTTACTATTTGCTAAGATTTATAAATACTCAACACATTGCTTGTAAGATTGTCATAAACTGGCTGTCAGCTGACAGTCAGCTGACTGGCTGAGTTCCATTATATTCCTCTGCTTGCTTATTTCATTAGATGACTTACTATGGGAATCAGTTTCTCTAATTCAAGGGGGAAAAGACATTCTTTTGCTCCTCTTTAAATGCACTTGCTTGTGGCCACAACTATTTCATTCCGTCTAATAGGAGATGATAGGATAAGAATAGTTTTATTCAGTGGTAGGATTCAAATATGTGAACCGGTTCTCTGTGTGGATGCCGCTTCTGGAAATCCATTCTGGGCCTGGGCAACAAAAAATTAGCTACCGGTTCTGCTGAAGTGGTGCGAACTGGCTGAATCCCACCACTGGTTTTATTCCATCTAAAAATAAGAACACTGTAGTTTAATTCCAACAGAAAAGCCAGTACAAATTTATAACCTATTAGCACAATGCTAAGCAAGTGTATTCAAAACTCCAATCTAAAGGGTTTACTCCTTAGTATATGCATATTGGTAGCACTATAAAATGCCTACTTTGATATTATAGGAGGCAATAAGATAAAAAGTTATTTTTGTGAAATAACTTGTTACTGTGTCCTATGTTCATTTGGTGAAATGTTCCTTAAAAAAGGACAAAAAGGACACAGATATAATTTCAAAACAAAGTGCTTTTACGTCGCCTATCCTATGTACATCCAGCAGCTTTGACACAAAATACAAATTGCTGAGACTCGACGAAGTCGCTCGAGTTGCTTTCCCGTCGAGGTCTGCGCATGCGCATCTCTTCGTCTTAAAACTGAAGAGCGAATGCGGACCACCGAATGTGGGCGTGGCTTCAGGTGCTTTTTGCCGAGATCTAAACCACGCAAGAGGCGCATCGGACGGCAAAGGATATGGATATGTAAAAGACCTCAGATAAGGGGCGGAGTTAAGGATGCGGATTGGCTAGGCCGGACAGCCGCGTGCCGGAGTGGGAAAGAAGGGGGAAGAAAGATTAGCGACGGGGAGAACCTTGATGCAGATACACTGCTGCATGGGGTGGTCGGGGGGGCGGGGCGTAGGAAGCTTGGCGGGACTACCTGATCTTCCTTCTCTGACGTCTGTGCGGTGGGCGGGGCCTCGATCGGTGGGTGGGAACTTTCCCCCCTCGGTTCTTTGGAGCTTCGGGAGCCGCAGTAGCGGAGGGGACGGCAGGTGAGGGCGTGGAGGGGGGGGGGAGTTGTTGCTGCTGCTGCTGCTGCTGCTGCTGTCTTCGTGCGGGTTGTCTGGAAAGACTTCGGGGCAGAGCGTGCCGAAGGATTGGTCCCCATTCCCCAAACCGGAGGCGTGGCGTGGGGGTAGACCGAGGGCAGAATGACGCGCTGGAGGGGGGCGAGGATGCCCAGCTTTGTGGTGTGAGGGGTGGGCAGGGGGGGGAGTGATGTCATGTGGGACCATAACGTCTGAAAGGAAAACTGCTGCTTGGCTGCACGTGCACCGGGTGGCGCGGGGAAGCCGCTTTGCGTAGGCTGTAGCTGCTGATTTCGGCAGCAAGTCTGAAGGGTTGTGGGCAAGGTGGGGGCGAGAGATGAATTGGGGCGATGTTTGCGGGCAGAACTGGGAGCGAAGTCAAAAGACTGCTGGAATGCACCCGGGATGGGTTTCTGAATGTATGAAAGCGTTATGTAACTAACGAGAGGTTTTAGGAAGGGAGGGTGGTCCTCTGAAGGAATTCCCCCCATCTCCCATTGTCAATTTCGTAGTAGAAATAGCCTCTTATCTTTTTTTTTTAAATCAAGGCCCAAGACTTGATTTTTCTCGCCCCCTGGCTTTCTTTTCTGCCAAAGGTATGGGGAAAAAAGAACAATTTCACTAATATGCTTTAATAGATCTAATGTCTTTAAACCGGGGCACTTAAGGTAAAACTGCAAGATAAGGATAGATTGACACCGAAGTTTCCTGTAGTTTTTCTTCTGTCCATTTGCGACTGATTAATTGAAGTTGGATTTAACTTGAGCTAATGGAAGTACTGTCCTATGTGTAAAGCAGCAAGATAGAGCAGCTTTCAGTCCTAGTACTTTTTTTCTATTTTGGGGAGCTAGCCTGGTTACTTCTTTCAACATACCAAACTTTCTGTGACAGAATTTCTGTTAATAATTTTTTGCCAATATCCCTCTATTAAAGGAGCAGATAGTATAACATTATTTGTCATGTTTATTTTAGAACCTTCAGAAATGCAATCATTTATTGGTAGAACAGGAAACACCTCTTAATTTATGAAGATTAAATGCCTTCCATGTCAAATTAGAAATGTTTTTGATTAGGTTTTGTTTTGTTATTTGTGTTATTTGTGTATCACATTTATATCCAATTGCAACAAAAAAATTGCTGATTTCTGTGCAGTTATCCTGGTATAGAATATTAATTTTATAGGCCCTGCATCTTGCTGGAACTTTTTAACAGAACTGTTGATTGTAGTTGCTGAAGGCTGTGCTATATTTAGTAGCAGGATAAGACCTAATGGTGTTTAATGCTATTTACAGTCTAAACTATGCACAACTAAAACATAGACCACTTTTTCTCCAGTGGACTTTGAATTCTTTAGTTATTAGCTTAATGAAATCAAGTAGATGTAGGGCTAGCACATTTAAGATGTGAAGTCTCTTGTACCATCCTCTGAGGAGTGAACAAACTCACTGAAAGATATCCAGTGAGTGAAAAATCTGAGCCTAGTTACATTTGGCTTGGCTTCCTTCAGATAACCTACATGCAGCTGGTGAGTTGAAAAGCCAGAACTTGTTTTGAAGGAAGGTGTGACTCATAGCCAAGTCCATCAAAGACATACTTGGCTTTTCTTTTCTTTCAAACATGTATTAAGTATTATTGGAGAATTGTTTTGCTAATAAATAATGCTCACTATATTCACAATTTATAAAATTTGTGTTTTGGTAACTTTAAATATTTCTGTAAGTCACCCAGAGTCATTGGTGAGTAGACAGCCATATTAATTAAATTATAAATAATATCTCATTTAAAATTTAAAATAATATAAATTATTTTATATTCTTAAATATAACTTACAATAAAAATTAAAATAATGGATTTAACCAGTTCAAATATTCTGGGTAGTGTACAGTACTATAAAAGTGGATTGAAAAATGGCTACCAAAGAGGTCTTTATCATTCCTGAATTTATCTGGAAAGAATTAATTATTCTAATGAATTCCAATATATTCAGAATTACACTTGAGTATACTCTTCCACAGTTTTGAAATGTAAGGAGTAGACTAAAAATAGAACAAGATCATGTCGTGAAGTTATGTATAATCCAGAAGTAATTTTCAAAGTCAATAATTTGCCAAATATACATTCTAGTCAGCACTGAAAGTTGAGTGCCAAGACTTTATGGTAGAGTATGTGCAATATGCTACATCATATACTTTTGTAATACCTGATTTAATTATATAGCTCACAATACCCAGATACTGGTTTTTGGCCAAGTCTTAAAACACTAGAGAATTCCTGGAAACCTGGCACTGAGACAAAGCAGCCATCAACAGGCACATAGAAGTAAACAACAACAACACACACACCCCGTTCCAAAGAGACAATCAAAAAGCCAAAAAGAAAGAAATCAAAACACCATCCTACCAGCAATCAACACCCAGATAAACACCAAGATTAATACAAGAACAATTGTTTACTTGTTTTTTATTTACAATATCCCAATCAAGAAACTATCAACTCAGACAAATAAACTAATAGTAAACAGTCTACTCAAGTAACCACAGAGAATGCTCCAACCAACACTGACAGGGCAAGCCACTAATATATAAAAAGAGAACACACCCTATACCTTTGTAGCACTGATGTTACCTTGTTTGGTAATGAAATGTCTGTAAGAAAACAGCTAAACTCAGAGATCACCCGATATATTCTGAAGTAAAAAATTGTATTATAATATATTCTGTCAGAGAAATAGCTGGATTCATAAACATATAAATAAATAAAGTTGGATAGAATCCTGAAAAAAAGGTTCCTTCAAAATACTAGTGGAATTGGAATCCATAAAAACAGTAGGTCAAAGACAGAAACAATGGTTGCTTTCTTTTATATATCATTTCACTTATCTATTTAAACAGACATTCCCAAGTATATGAAAGAATAAAAGAATTGACAGGTTGTAATTATGTTTAAGGAATATTAAAACTTTTTTGTATTTTGCTGGTAAATTTTGCTTTATGTGTTGTTTCAGTACACTAAAATTGACTCATTGTCTTTAGAGGTCTGCAGAATATAATACTCAGATAATTTACGATCATTGACCCAGATGTACTTAAGCTAGCAGATTGCAATGAATCAAGCTAATTAGAACTGTCCTCTAGAAATGTAGAAAAACAGTGCTTTTCAGAAGTTGTCCTAATATATTTTTATATATTTAACTTTGAATAATCAAGAGATCATGGGATAGCAGTGCTAAAACAGAACATATGCCTTCCAAGATACTTGAAAAGAAAAGGGGTGTTTTTCTGCTTCATCTAAGGCCTTTTTTTTTCAAAAAAGAAAAATGGAAAGAAATTGATTTTTACATATTTTCTTTTCATACAATACAAAAATATTTGTGAAACAAATTGATATGAATTTAGAGATATTTCTGCCAAATCAAACAAACAAACAAGTGAAGGGTTTTACTTAACTCCATGCAATTGATAAAAATAACAGAAGACTATACTGTACTATAGTTTGCTGTTAAGAAAACAATTTATTTGAAAATATATGTATTCTGAGTCTTGTATCCCCCCCCCCATTTTCATGAGTATTTACATAAACTGCACTTCAGAGTTTGGTGTTATGCAAGTAGCTGTGGCTTATCAACCTCTTGTTCAGTGGCCAGTCAAAGCTACAATGGTACTGACAAAAGAGACTTAAAATCAGTCCTTGAAATTCTGGCCATCACAGCACCCTTGCGGTCACATGATTGTAATATGGGTGCTTGGCAATCAGCTAGTATTTATGATGGTTGTAGTATTCTATGGTGACACAATCAATTTTCCTTGCTAGTTTCCTACAAAGAAAGTCAATGGGGAACCTGGCAGGAAAAATACTAAGTTGCTTGCAGGATCCACTGCCTAGCAGCAGCCAACCCCAGCTCCATTATGCTTATACTACGCTTCATGGGCTACTCATATACCATCCCCTAGCAGTTTGAGAGCATGCTACAAGCAAGCAGATATATAGGTACCACTTCATGTGGAATTACGAACCCAGTTTGAGCTGGACCTGCCCAAATGCGATGTCTGAATGCAAGGTGACATCAGTAGAGGGGAAAAGCCCTGGAGGACGCTGCCAAATGCCTTTAGCCATTCTGAGTGCATTCTAGTTCACCCCCTGTGGTGCACTTTTAGATAGTGTGTGAGTGTGAACTGAACGGACTAGCAGTCTTAGGCAGGTAAACAACTACTCTGAATTAATACTGTAGTTTCCTGGCTAATATACCATCACCTTAAGATAAATATACCCTGTGTCTTCATGCCTAAGGCAGGATTAGAAAGTATAGTCTCCTGGCTTCTAGCCTTCACCAATTACACAAAATTGGCTCTCATTCATTTAACAGTACAATTATGTTTCTTGTCCCATGAATGAGAAAACCCCTCTTCAATTTTGACTTGGTGAAATCTATGCTAGTCTGACTTTAATAGTATTTACAGTATAACTTTTTTTTATCTTGAGTGCTGAACATTGGCTCATGAATAGTTGATACAGAAACCTGTAATGCAGTGGTTCTCAACCTTTTTAATGCCGCGACCCCCAACCGGTCGTAAGTCGAGGACTAAACTGGTCGTAAGTCGAGGACTAAACCGGTCGTAAGTCGAGGACTACCCAACCGGTCGTAAGTCGAGGACTTTCCCTGCCCGGGAGCACCGTGCATGCGTGGTTCCGCCCCCTGCGCCAGCCAAGGCGTAGCTGGCAAGCAGCAGAGACGGAGCAGGCCGACCACCAGCTGGCCCAGCTCAAGGGAGGTAAGGCACCCGCCAGAAAAGGGGGAAAAATGGCGGACAGCCTTGCTTGGCGACCCCCGTGAAATGGTTGATCGACCCCAAATGGGGTTGCGACCCATAGGTTGAGAACCACTGCTGTAATGAATTCAGATAATCAGCAATAGCCTTATATTTACATACAGATAATAGCCATTAGTAATCTTTTATTCTATTTAAAACCATCTCTTACATATTAATCTATAATACTAGATTACAGATTATTCTTCTTTAATCTGTATTATAGATTATAGATTATTATACTAGATCAGTGATGGCGAACCTTTTAGAGACCAAGTGCCCAAACTGCAACCCAAAACCCATTTATGTATCATCGGGTGCCAGGTGCGCTTGGCCCACTGGGTGGGCATGGCCCATTGGGTGGGCGTGGCTGCGGTGGTAACGGCAGACTGGGTGGGACTAAAAAGTTCAATCAATTCCAACTTTGCGAGATCTTTTTTTTCCCCGCGAGAAGTTGAAATTGATTGATTGAACCTTTTTTTTTTGCACACGGCGGCGGAGGCTTAAAGCGAAAAGGTTTGATAAAACCCAGCTGAAAGCCTAGGACTGGGGCGACGGCGTGTGTGCCCACAGAGAGGCCTCTGCGTGCCACCTGTGGCACGTGTGCCATAGGTTCGCCAGCATGGTACTAGATTATATACTATTATAAACACAAAATGCTGTTCAGTGACAGCATTTTTTATGTTCTGTTTTAATGCTTTATTGCATTAAAAATAATGAACAAATATAGCTTAATAGGTTTTTATTTCTATAACTTCACATTTGGGGAAAGCATTTTGTTATCTGCCTTACTTAAAAGTGACCTTAAAGTCTTTTTTGTTGTAAAGTAAATATTATTTAATTAAAAATTAAAAATGCAATGCTGTTAATGTTAGCAAGCCTTTGTGAGGCAGAAAAAGTAATATCCTTTGAGAAACCTTTCCTACATTCTACTCAGTTTTCTAGAAATAGTTCCTAAATTTTATGGAACAATTGTAACAAATGTGCCTTAAAAGATTTGACAAGAACTATTAAAAGAAATAGAATATGTAAACAAAAAAATCAAGATCTTCAGAGAATGGATACCGGTATTTAATCACATGTCTCTTATAACGTTTTGTGTGTAGCAAGTGTGTTCTTGGCTATATACTCCATGATTTTTAAGCAATGTGAGGACCAAATTTTATCCAGAAAATTGCAGGAAAATAATTTTTAGACTTAAGACCATATGCAGTATTATACTTCGATTTAGATAAGGAGCCCTGCTAACCCTATACCATATTGTCAGCTAATAATGCCTTCCTAAGTAAGGTTTTATTCTGCCTTCTAGTTTCACCTCAAACCTTGTGATAAAATACTAATATTTAGGAATGATGAAATGATTTATGATACAACAGCTTATGAATTCACATGATGCTCAAAATATTTGGAATCTCTTAACTATTAGTATTTTTAGTAATAGAAATATGAATTACATGAACAAGTAATACTTAGAGTCATTGGTCAATTGATGAGATATTTTTTGAAAAAATCCTTTTTAGCCAAAGGTGGCTTTCTAAAAGATGACCATAGAGGATCTTCCTGACCCTTCTGAAGAAGGTGTTTCATTGAGTAGAAGACACCAGTTTTTTATCTCAGGCTCCGAAGATTCAATTACCCATTCAGTCTCTGCTGCACCAATGCCTTCAGAATATGGTAAGACTATTTATAGGAGGAGGGAGCTGTTTTCAAAATATTGAATGAGTAGAGATTGATTCCAAAGGGATGCTCAGAACTTAAAATAAAAAGCTCTAATCAACATTCTCTTGGAAAATATTATAACTGTTTTCTTAAAATGTGCTGTATGCTAGATGTAGAGAATAGCTTTATTATATAAACAGTGCGTAACGCACATCTTGGAAAATCATTGTGCTCCCAACAGAAAAAAAATTACTTTAGTATGAAATATATAAAGTTGTTTTCCTACCAGGGCATCATATTTTGCATGCTAGTCATGTGAAAAAAACTGATATTGTGTAATATATTAGAACTTCTTTCCACTTTGAACATCTTTTCTTGGTGCAAGTCTAGAAGCAAGCAGGCAAATACCAAGTTTTATTAGGTAATAAACTCTCACAAAAACAAATTAATTTAATTTGCATGTATTGTAATTAATTAAATCCTATTGCAATTAAATAAGTAGCTCAATAAATAAGATGTAAAACTTAATATAACATTAAATAAAATGTTAATATATAACAACATATTTGTTAAACTGAACATATGAATGAAATTGAAAAATTAAGAAAGAACAAAATGAATTGTAGCCGCTTGCTTAATAATGTTAAGAATAGGAGTGATTAAAATATAGTTTTAGTGAAGACCAATGTATGCATAGCTTCAGACTGTTGGAAGCACCTGCTTCTGATTATAAACTTACTCAAAAGATCTAATAGATAATACAGATGATCTTCTGACAGATTAGAATTACAGGTAGTCCTCGAGTTACGAGTGTAATGGAGCCTGCCCATTCCATTCATAACTTGAAAACTCATGGGAGTGAATCTCGTACCTCGAACGAGATCACTCCCTTGCTTGTTAAGACACACGCAGCTCATGAGTTATCTCAGGGTGGGGAAGGTCATGGAGGGCCTAGTGATGGAACAGGCCCCCAAGGCCTCCCTGACCACTAAGATACCTCATGCTTCCCCCTCTCTTCCTGCCACGGTGGACTCATCTTGAAAAGATCCATCTTCTCTCTGCCACGTTTTCTGCTGCCGCCTAGATCTGAGACCGGGGGACACTTCTGCGGCCCTCCGGTGGCCCGATCTGGGTGCCAGAAGCCTTCTCCAGGCCGCTGCAACCCGGAAATGGGCCTCCGGAGGGCCACGGAAGCATCCCCTGGCCTCAGATCCAGGTGGCAGCAGCCTAGAGAACATCAAATATAAAAAATAAATATAAAACTATATAAAATATATAAAATATATAAAAAATATAGTAGGCATTTCCAGGAAAGTTCTAGTGCATGCATTTAATCTTATACTTCTTAATGATTTTTATGTATATATAATTTGTATTAAGAATTTTAATTGCAATGGTAAAATTTAATGAAACTAAAAGAAAGTAGAATAGAAAGTATACAGTGCAAAGGAAAAGAAAAAACAGAAAGTAAAAAGAAAAAAATATATAGCAGAGAAAGAGAAAAGCAATATATATATTAAATGACTTCCAATCTTCATCATAATAAACATAATCTATTTTCATAACTCTTCACCCCCTCTTAGTTTACAACCAATGATCTCTTCATCCAATATCCCATCTCTTATTTATAGAGAAGTCCATAAAGCATAATCTTTCCAGCAAAAAGTCCATTAAGAATTACTGAAAATAACAACTTATTTTAACCTTGATCAAATAAACCAAGTTTATATTCCTTGGTTTTAGTTTTAACAGTCTTAATCTTTAGTCTATTGAAATACCATAGAATTTGCTCTTTTTTCATTTCTTCTTTTTCCCTTCTGACAAGATTTTTCAAAGCTTTAATTAAGCTTTTTATGTAAATCCAATATAAAAAAACCCACCTTCTTGGTTTATTATTTGTATTTCCCTTTTGATTTTTAAATATCAACTCATTTCTTGTGTATATACAGCAAAACATCCTATTTCATATTATTCTCATAGCCTGTCATTTGTAGATCCACTTTCAGTGCCATCTCTGTCTTGTTAAATAAAATGTGTTACTCCTTTCTGGGCTAAGAATGAAGATTTTCTGTAGGAAAATAGGGTATGAGAGGGTTACATATTGAAACTGCCACATCTAAATATATCATAAAACATTGAAACATGAAAATTGTAAAAAAAATACCCTATATGGAATATTCAATACCTCATCAAATTAGAGAGTCCCTTACTGATTACATAGTAAACTATTTTCCAATTGTGGGTTGTCCAGATGCTTTAGGGTGGGGAAGGTTGGTTAGGATGTATGAAACTTGACTAAAAAAGGTTTTTAAAATCTATTTGAATATTTTTAGCAGCTAAATCTTTCTTTCATTTCTGTAGAGTTCTCCTTTTTCGATCCAAATGATGCAGCATGTCGGGAAATTCTTTTCAACCCCAAAACTTCTGTATCTGAATTATTTGCTATCTTAAGACAATGGGTTCCCCAAGTTCAGCAAAACATTGATGTGATAGGAAATGAGGTGAGACATTTATTGATTTCCTGGATTTATCTATGAATCTTATTAATTTTTATTTTATGCCCTCACTTAATATATGGAAATATCTGTTAAATTTTTGTTTAGAATCCAATATTAGCAAATGTGTCTTTACATCTGCATCCTTATTAAGTAACTTTTTTATGATCTGCTAAGAGCAGAATCCTCCATAAAAAGTGCATTAAGGGCTACATATCTTTTGGGGTTTACATGATTTGACAGTTTTTTTTTTATTTAAGTAGCTCTGTAGTGCTGAGTGAACTGATGAAATGCAAATTGGTAATCACATGAACCCAGATATTTATGTCGTTGCTGTGAAATGTATCAGCTAATTGCTTTGGTAGTAAAAATAATTTGTTATTAGGTATCACTATGAGAGTGATATATATTTTAACTTCCAGGAAATGAAAGTTGCTGCATCAGAATCATAAATGATCTATTTTTTTAATCAACAGATCATTAAGAGAGGCTGTAATGTGAATGACAGAGATGGCTTGACTGACATGACTCTCTTGCACTATACTTGCAAGTCAGGAGCTCATGGAATTGGTAAGAAAAGGAATTGGAAATTTTCTGTGGCTAGTTTTTACAGCAGGAATAGTAGTTGTCTTTCCTATCTTTCTCCAGGTATATTGTTTATGCCAATATAGAGAGGAATGGTGTCATTTCTCTTCAAATCATGTACCTGTAATATTATAATATTGCAAATTCCAATTCCCTCTGTGTCCAAAATTCTACCAATTTAAACAGTTTGGATCATCTGCAGCAATTTCCCTACCTTCACAAGTCACATATTTTCCCCAACACTCCAAAAATCACTCTACTTAATTTCTGAACCCCCCTTCCAACTGGCTAAAGTAACATCACAACATCACTGGATAGTTTCCTGTAAATCTTTGTATAGATGATAAATTAGGTTGTTCTGATACCTCAAACAGCGCTTTAAAATTCATGGAGATGTGGCCATATTTACTATACTGTAACCACAGAATTTGTATGCTGCCCTTTCTTTCCAAACTTTCTAAATGGAATTGTTGGTAAACTGAAATAATCACATTACCTTTTTTATTTTCCCATTGTTCTGTAGCCTTGTGACCTCCTATACAGCAACAATTTAAAATCAATGGGGTGGAAACAGACAGAAACTTCACATTTTATCATTTGAAAATCCTAGGAAAAAATAGAATTACATGTTAGTACATGGTGCAGATGAAATAATGTAAAATAATTTAACAGTTGAATTAAATAGTTTTAGTCCTAATTGCTATGTATAAATGAAAACAATGGTTTTATTCCACTGAAGTCATAGCATAGGTATAAGTTCACTAATAATCTGGTCAGATGTCTTTTAGCATTGCTGTATTGATTATGGGACCCACTCTACCATTGGTTAGTTATCCATTAGCTCTGTCATCATGACCTAGAATAGTAACAAGTGATGTGTAAGCCGCCATCATCATCATTGTCATTATTATCATTATTATCATTACTACTACTACGACTACGACTACGACTACAACTGCGACTACGACTACGACTACGACTACAACTGTTGTTCCAGCATCTGTGCAAGGAAGGAACTATTGTTACTTGAACAACTATTCCTCTTGTATGAGATGCAGAGGATCCTGCAGTGTTTCTGCTGTCCTAAAACAGAAACAAATGAAGACAATTTAATTCAAATCCAGACATTGGAAGTTGCATAGCATATCATAAAATATATTTTTCTACAGAAAATAAGACAAAACCCAAGCATTTTTTACTGCATGTATTTGTGGAACAAGTTTGCCCAATTTGATACTTTCCAGATGTGTTGAGATAGCAGTTTTCATTAACTCCAGTCATTGGCTATAGATATTTAGAATCGAGGAAGCTATTGCCCTAGACCAGGGCTTTTCAACCTTTTCACCCATTTTACCACTTTTAGGATATGGCAATATCCGAGTACCACCAGTCGCCTAGCAAGGTGTCAAAAACTTGATGTCCCCCCCCCCAAAAAAGGAAAAAAGTGATAAACTACAGGTAGTCCTCGACTTACAACAGTTCGCTTAGTGACTGTTTGAAGTTACAATGGCACTGAAAAAAGTGCCCCCCAAGCCACAGCCGAGCAAGACACCTGCCTGCCCTCCCGGCGGCGCTCTTCCTCCTGTCCGAGGTTTTCATTGTTGTGAGCATTTCTGTTGAGGATTGGCAGCGGGGGTGGGGTGGGGGGTGTTTGGTTTTTATTCCCCGTCACTGGGTGGTTGCAGCAGGTTTTGGTCACTTCATATGACCCTGGGACACTGTGACCGTCATAAATATGAATCAGTTGCCAAGCATCTGAATGTAAATCACAAGACCCTGGAGATGCTGCACCAGGATCAGTGCCGAGCTCCAACTGGAGCCTGGCTCTGATCCTGATGCTTCCGCTGAGCCCTGATAGCCCTGCAGCTCCAGCCATCTCTCGCTCAGGCTTGTGTGGTGCTGCCACCGGTTCAGCTAATTCCCCTCCCCCGCTACCACTTTTCTAGGATGGTCGCGTACCATCTGCCAGGTGCCAATGTACCACAGGTGGTACCCGTACCACTGGTTGAAAAGCCCTACCCTAGACATCCAGAGAAAAAGGCTGATATAAAAAGTACTAGGAAACTTTCCTGATTTTTTTCTTCATTGTTGATGTAGTTATAGTCTAACTAACCTTTAAACTCTAGTAAGGAAACATCTTGTAAGGATTGGCTGTATGGAAACTTGCCAATATTTTTTGGACATAGTCTTCTGTTATCTAGTATGTTGTGAAAATCTATCAAGAACCCACTAAACTACATATAAACTATGTTTTCAAACTATCTACTTTGCAGGGGATGTAAAAACAGCAGCAAAATTTGCCTCTCAGCTTATTGAGTTGGGTGCAGATATCAGTTTGAGGAGTCGCTGGACAAATATGAATGCTCTGCACTATGCTGCCTATTTTGATGTTCCAGAACTCATTAGTATCATTTTAAAAAATGCAAAACCAAAAGGTAAATCTTTATTTATTTGCCAATAGATAAAATGTTCTTTCCCTTATCAGTAAGACTATTCCCAAATTGATGTTGCCCTGAATATGAAGACCCCAAATAGGCACACATGCTTATCAATGAATTACTCATTTTAGTTGCAGTATTCATTAATTATCTGTCTCTGTCTCTGTCTCTGTCTCTGTCTCTGTCTCTGTCTCTGTCTGTCTGTCTGTCTGTCTGTCTGTCTGTCTATCTGTCTATCTATCTATCTATCTATCTATCTATCTATCTATCTATCTATCTATCTATCTATCTATCTATCTATCTTGTCTTCATGGTTTCCATCTATGCTATTGCTAGCAATTGGAGGGTGTAGAAAGAGAAAGGGATATGTTTGCTCCTACGACATTTAGATAGCCAGCCATTTCAGTGATATTTATCATCATCATGTTCACCTAATGTTACTAATATATCTATAACGATCTTTTAAAAGTGAAGTAATTTAACTCTAAGATATACAGTATGTCCCACAATAAGTATGGAAATAAATACTAGAAATTATATAATATAGATATTATCAGTACCTATAAAATGCATACACTTTTTCCATACTGAAGTTTTGAATTTCTGTTTACTCTGTCAGTACCTAAAATTCCAGATCAATTGCAATTATTTTAATGGAAACTTTGAATTACCATATATTTGAATTTTTTGTGTTATACATATATATTACATTGTAGGTTATGAGGTAAATCATTAACAAAGCAACTGGGTAAAATGGTATCTATTTCAGAAAGTATGCCTCTGAACATTTATTAGTTAGAAAACATAGAAGATAATATGTGGTCTTCCTCTGATGCAGATTCTTCAGAGGGAATTTGAGATGGATTTAATTATTATGTGTAATATATTATTATTTTGAAAATTGTATCCATCTTTGTTTTCTTAATAAAACATGACAACTCATCTCCCCTTCCTCAAGATGGCCATTTTTATGTTTATGCTCTATGGAGTTGTCATAGACAATGATGTAGAACATGCTGATATCACATATTTTTATTTTATTTATTTATTTAAAACATTTTCTTTAAGTAGCTAAATCATAGATATAGTTATGTCTTATCCTCCCCATCCCTTTTTATTTTTATAATGATATTGCGTTTGTGGAATATAGGAATTAATGACTGTTTTCTGATAATCTTATGAGGTTTTATGTCAATTTTGTTTCTTTTCATCACTTAAAATTATGAAAAAATAATATATTCACAATTTTTACTTTGGGTTTCAGCTTGAAGCAGTGTGAATTAGAAAAGATGGAACAAGCTACTCATTTCTGCTTTTTTATTTCTCTTTCTTTTCTTCCCAAATGTAATTTTCTCCTTCAAAATTTCTCAGAATTTCTAGCACACTGATAAATCCACGTTCTCCTCTTCAATAGTGCAATAATTTATATTACCAGTTTCTTGTAGCACATTTATTTTTTTGGTGATGTAGATGATCAGGAGTAAGCCCTTCACTTCTCCAGCAAATCATTAGATCTTTAGATCATCATTAGATCTAATCATTAGATCTAATCAGTCGACAGCATAAGATTAGCCATATCGTAAGAGGCAGAGAGTGTGAATAAGTTACAATGTGGCAATCACTTGAAAGAGTATTCCCTGTGAACCTAGACTGCTGAATATCCTATCTATGCAACCATGGTGTATGATAAGATTAATTTGGTTTTTTTTATGAAGCCTGCATGTTTACATACAGGGAGTATTGGTTCATAGAGGATGGCTTTGAGCAAGTGCTTAACCAATGTGAGCATTTTGAAACAATATGGTGGTTACATAAAGTTAACAGCCATGAGGACTGCCAATAACTGTTAGTGTTTTCTTTGATGCTAAATGATTTTCTGCACCTTGTTCTACATATTTTTCTTTTGTCTAAAGAAAAGGAGACATGTTTATGTAACATTGAAAGAGAAATGTACTTGTTTGGTTTCCAAAAAAATTAACATAGGACAATAAAATCTGGAAGAAATTTCAACAATCTGTTTTCTTTGGCTCCTGGCATTCATTTGAATTAATTCAAGAGTTGTATCTATAAATAGAATGCAATGAAGCTTGTGGAGTAGCATTTCTCTTTTCTACTCAAACCTTTGGCATGCATTTGTTGGAATCAAGTTGATCCAGAAAGCTAGAGTGCTTATACAGGTAGTCCTCAATTTATAGCCATTCATTTAGTGACTGTTTGAAGTTACAACAGCACTGAAAAAAGTTACTTATGACCATTTTTTACACTACTGTTGCAGCAACCCCATGGTCATGCAATCAAAATTCAGACATATGACAACTGGAATATATTTATGACAGTTACAGTGTCCCAGGGCCATGTGATCACGTTTTGCAACCCTCTGACAAAGTCAGTGGGGAAGCTAGATTCATTTAACAACCAAATAACAACTGCAGTGATTCACTTAACAACTTTGGCAAGAAAGATTGTAAAATGGGGCAAAACTAACTTAATAACTTATCAATGGAACTTGCTTATCAATGGAAAGTTTGGGCTCAATTGTGGTTATAGGTCAAGAACCACCTTTAGTTTCCTTACACATTTATAAGTTTTATCTATGCAGAATGTCTGGTAAATATCAGACTAAAGTTTATTCAGATGTTTTGCATTTTTAAAAAAATGCTTTTATAATGGCATGTAGCTTGGAAGGCAGGTTGTAGACGTGAGAATTGACATTTGCAAATATAGAGAAATAATCCTTGGATTCCTTTGCCATATTCTTGTTGTTTTGCAATCTCAAATATTGTCAACACAATCTGGAAGTTGGCTAGTGGCAGAAGCAAAATAAATTGCTCACCCATATTAGAAGTTTAATAATTATAATACTGTAGTTGCTGCATTGTGCAGATTCACCCTATTATATTAGAAGTTTAATAATTATAATTCTGCAGTTGCTGTATTGTGCAGATTCACCCTAAATATTGCCTTCTTTCAGTTGTTTCAAATGTAGGTTTAGTTTTACCCATGATTTATTAAGCTAGCTTTGCTCCCTTTTATCCTTGTTCATTCTGTCTTTAACTAGAGAGGATACATGTGCAACTAAGAGCTTCCTTTAGATACTTCATAGGTTTCCAAAGTTAAATTGTCCAAACAATCAGAAAAGAATTTGTATCTGCCTTTAAATAAAAGACAGTGAATTTAAACCATCAGCATATGCAAGCACAGATAATACTTCATGTGGATTGACCAATATGAACATGAAATATAAATATGCACAAGGATACAACTGGAGAAAGATTTCAAAGTACCTCTGCCTAGTTTTCTGGAGTTCACAACTGATTTGAAACTTTAAGGAGGAGTGCTTCTCTCACATCAATGCACTTTGTAAAAAAATCTAATGCTCTGTACAGATATAATAGGTACAAATAATTGAAATACTGATTATTCCCAGGGCAATGTTAAGTCACATGTAGACCAATCTTTTAAAATATACATAAATATATAGTGATGAACAAATCATTAACACTAAAAATGGGAAAGCAAAAGATATATTTTTAATATTTTACGAGAGGCATTTTTTTAAAAAAAGTTAAATGTCCATATACAATATTTCCATTCCCCACAAATCTGTATAAATGCAAGCAATGTAATAAGAGCTATTTTGGCATAATTAAAAAACAAATATGAATAAAACAATCAAAATAAAATATTGGAAAATATGATTATTAGAAATCAACCTGATTGTCAATTAACCCCTCTTTTTAACTTCCATAATAGTGCTGTAGTTATAATAAATATTGATTGTTTAAATCATTTGACAAAGTTTTCTATGACAGTCTGATTGCCAGCCAGCTGAGAATATGCTGAATGGGATAACAATTAAATAGATGGATATGTTTAATTTGAAAATCAGACTAGGAAATATGCCGTTTGTCAAGTAAAAGTATAGATGTCCGGTTGATGAAATCTAAGGCCTATTTGCTGCCATACCTAGAGACAAGGCGTGGATAATAGATTTTTAATTCCAAGAAAGCAATTTCCAATTGAAAGGAAAGTTTTCTAAAGGAAGAACAATTTGACAATAGAAGCAATTACCCTGAGATGTAGTGAGCTCCCCTCCATTGGTTTTGGTAGAGCCTACACTTCCATCCACTTGTGAGGGATGCTTGAATTTGGATTCCTGTATAGAGTAAGGAATTCAATTGGTTCTGTGATTTGTTCAATGTCTTGCCTGATGTGTTAATTTTTCAGCCTCTTGATACTTATTCCCTGGCCTAATTAAACTTGATGTGGGAACAGGGCCAATAAATAGTTCTCAGGCATTTTTAAGGATCAATTCTTCCTCTGCTTTTAGAAAAATAGCAATGGGAAGGGAGATAGAGTTTAACAGGACTTCCTTCCTTCAAAGATTCTGCTAAATTTTCCCCTTCAACTTGACCTTTCTTTTCCTGTTTTTCTTGCTTGCTTGAGAGGAATTTTTCTTGCTCCTCCACTTGTTGTTATTGCTGGTGTTGAATTCTCGTATCCCAGCCTCTCTGGTCCCAGTATTTTTAGATAGTTTTAAAGTTGGTATTTATTGATCTGACACATGAATTGTATTCAAGCAAATTTATGTTTTCTCTGTTATTGCTAAAAAGTCAATTTGGGAAAAAAAATAGGTACATATAAATTTAATAAATAAACAAATACCTTTGGGTTTGTTTAGTGTGTGACTGACTATTTGACTTCTCTGTTTTGATTTTGAATTCTATTGTCTATATTTAATGTCTATTTAGTCATTGTTTTTACCCATAGTATGTCATTCAGGATAAAACAGCATTGATATATCCACATATCAACTTGGTTCTTAATTGTAGATATTGATGCCACCTGCAGTGACTTTGATTTTGGAACTGCCTTGCATATTGCTGCCTTCAACCTATGTACTGGAGCTGTAAAGTGTCTATTGGAACATGGTGCTAACCCTGCTTTTAGGGTAAGATATCAATTTTATCAAATGTTTATTTTATCTGACTGAATCTGAATTATAATAATTGTTTAGAAATGCTTTGCTTAGTGTTATATTGGAAATGTGTTAAAAATGAAGAGAAAAATATGTGTAAATTAAATTTTACTTCTGTGTATCTTTAGATTTATTTTGTAAATTATTTGAAATTTGTTGATCTTGACAATGGAAGTTTAGGATTTATCTGAGCAGTTGTGTTTTATGATGATTATTTAATAGTTGTTAATAGCTCTGTTTTAATTTGGATTAATACTGTGCCTGAATTTACTCCCTTGTTTTGATGATTATTGTTCCGCAGAATGACAAAGGGCAGACACCTGCTGATGTGGTTCCTGATCCAGTAGATATGCCATTGGAAATGGCTGATGCAGCAGCCAGCGCTAAAGAAATCAAACAGATGCTTTTAGATGCGGTACCTCTGGTTTGTGACCTTTCCAATATAATGCTTCCAAATTATGATAATGTCACTGGAAAAGACATGCTTGAATTGCTTGGCCTAAAACTGGGAGATCGAGTTGTCATTGCAGGACAGAAGGTATGTTTTAATCAGCAAATTGTGAATCAAAAATTAACTGGATTGAAAATGTTTCTGGATTTATATGTAGGGCTGTTAATCACAACAAGCTGAATGATTCTCCCGGTAGCTCTTGTCACATCAGCTAGTAAAATTTAATTTTTTAAGGAGAGCTGTACCTGGCTCACTTAGATACAGCATATAAAAATTATGTTATCCTTGTCCACCTAAGGAATATACACCTGTTCTCTGTCCTGAACTAGGAAACATAGAATCAGGTTGATTGCCAGTCTCATAAAACTACACTATACTTTGGACTTTAAAATAAATTTTGCAAACTTTATTGATCCATATGTTGCTTCTATTAATTGTATTAATTTTAATTTTTAATAAAAATGTAAATTGTGCTTGATTAATTAATTAATTCTTTAAAAAGAATTCTATCTGATGCAAAGATACTTTGGAAAGCAAACAACATCATGAACAGAAATTCAATATCTGAAACTTCATAGAACTGTCACATTTCTGTTTTGTTAGAAGATTAGATGTTGCATAGCTACCCTAGTTGCTATTACTAGACACTGCTCAAATTAATTCTTAGCTTTTAATAAAGTGTAAAGGGCAAAGCACAATGGTTCCAATAAAATTTTTGAAACAAGCTAAATTAAAGCTTCTTTTTTGTAAATCAGATAATAGGATGTTTTGGTTAAATGTTATATTATAATCTAGCATGTTTGATAGTAATAATAGTGACCAACAAATAATCTGAAATTGGAAGTTTGGATGTTAAAATGCAACATAAAATATGTTTTATTAAGGAGATATAGTTATTTGAGCCAAAATTAGTATTTTGAGAATTTTAACGTTTGCTTCAAATCTAAAAGAATTATACTTTTAGATAGTGTATGCATTTAGTTATAGGGTCATAAAATTGGAAGAGATCAATTTTTTGTTTATTTGTTCTGAAAAATATGTATGTTAACTTTCAAAATCATTTTTTCAAGGTGACTTGTAACACATTTAAATCATACAATTAAAGTTTGATATAGTAATTAAACTGCACAGAAAGGTATAATGATAAAAGGCATGATAATATAAACACTAAGACAATTAAAAACAACAGAGCAAAGTGTTTATTTGTTATACATGTTTAATATTAAAATATTAATTCATTAAAATGTGGGAGAGTAAAAACATCTTTCTTGGTTGCTGAGGAGACAATAATATTGGTTCCATGCCTAGGGAAGATAACCCAGAGTTGGCAAGAACCACGGAAAAAGCCAATTTCTGAGTCCCGCTTACCAACCCTCTGTATTTATTTATTTAGTCTATATCCTGAATTTCTGTCTATAAAACTAAGTATGATAATTAAGATATAAATAGGACACAAGCTGGAAGAGACATTATTTCAATTATTGTAATTGCAAGCTCTGAAAGACTTTTTAAGTGAAGGGCTTTCTAGAATTAAAAATGAAATTGAGAGCCAATGAAGATTGTATACAGTTGGCATACTATATTCATTATACTTAAATCCAGTCAGTACTCTCACTGCAGTAATTAACTGAAGTTTCTGAACTGTCATCAAGGACAGTTACACGTATGAATGCATTCAAATAATCAAACCAACAAATTAACAGGACCTGGACTGAGGTAGCAAGCTCTGTCCAAGTAGGTTTATAATGGGTGCACAATCTCAAGTAATAAGACATTTCATTCTATTGAGGATACTTGTGTCTCTAGTTCAGACTTAGACTTCGTGGCAAATACATTTTTTTCTCCTCAAAGTGGAGAAGGGTAAATATCAGCTTGTTCTGAACCAGATTCCAGAAGACTCTGAATCATTTAGAAAAGCTCTAATGGAACATCACTGAGAGGACTTAGTAGTGGAGAAAATATTGTTTCTTCATCATTGCCATTAAACGCATGATGGGTATTGGATCAAATTTAATATTAGTTTTCTGTTATCTGCGTTCTAGTTGTCTTCCACTTGTTTCATTGTCTTCAGCTGGAATGTATAATAAGCCTAAATGGGTGCTGCATAATGGTAGAAGATATCCAGAAGTGATCATGGGAACTATCCAGGTCATGTTAACCAAAGGGTTAACTAAAGTTTTACAAAGAGCATCCATCACTATTCTATCATTTTATAGAATCCATCATAACCCATTATTTTTCAGTTTGGATAATTCTAATTAGTACTTCAGCTCTGCAGAAAGGAAGTTATTGCAAGTATAAATTAGAAATGTTCTCACTGTGACAAGAAACAGATTTAAATTCCCCTGGTTCAGACTATTGTCCTATCCAGTAGATCTGAGCATCTATTACCTGAGTGAAACAATGATAAGTTGGGCAGAACCATGTTTGTTATGGCTATCACAAAATCTTGAGGGGCTGCAATCATGGTTGCCCTGGATAATGAATTCCTCCAGAACTGTTATTCTGGAAATCCTCAAGATCAAGTCCAAAACCATCTCTGTCAGCTTAGTTGGGGAGAGTGCTGAGTAGTAACGTGGGTGGTTCTCTGACACAATTCCTGTACTATATTTAGTGCACAATATTCAGTCAAACACTGTAGATTGGCATGGCATAGTAGAAAGTCTGAAACAAGCAGAACATTTCTTTATCCTTTAATTACTCTCCCTTTTAATCTCTGATCTGTTTTGGTGCTGCAATAAGGAAGGCACTGAGACTATCCCACACACATACACAACAGCTGTCTAATCCAAGTTAAAGTGGTACAAACCATATTGAACTTTATTCATAATTAAATAATCGATGAGAGAGATCTTATTCACCGATCCACCATTTAAGAATTGCACCTGCAGGCCAGAGGATGGGGCAGTATGGTTACCATACTTTGTCTGAACGGAGGAGAACCACCATCCCTGTAAAAAGGGAGTCAGGTGTTTAATTCCTTTCCTTTGTTGTTAATTCCAAGAGCTACATTTCCCTGCACCTATAATAACCCTTAGTTGGGGTCCTCCTCCCTTCTATGCCATTAGGAGAAGACTGTTTCAGATTCATAAAACTAAGCAGCAGAGGAGGAAATATAAATGACATTTAACCACGTTCTGACTCAAAGAGGCTTTCCGCACATTGCACTGTCAGTTCTGCAGAAGTCAATCAACCACCTGCTTTGGGCCCGGATAAGATTCTTCACTTGCTGTTCCAAAGGCCTTTACAGCCTGGTAATTATAGCCTTCAAGAGGATGGAACATCACTCACTCAGGCTTTAAAATGAAAGATGCAAGTTGCTGTTGGTGGAAGAGCTCCTGGTTGAAGGAAATGGAGCATGGAGAAATTCCCACTTGAAGGCTTTTCTTAAGAAAATTAGCAGCACTTGCAGGCAGGGCAAAGGGAAGGGTCCTTCATTTTAAATTTTGGAATTGGGAGAAGAGCAGCACAGGCACAACTCTTTTGCCTCTTTTTCTCTTTATAGCATTTTGATACAAGCTTTAAACGTATTTCTTGGATGTAGGTAAGCTTTAAAATCAAGCTTGGGGTGGAAGAAATAGAAACAAAGGCAGAGGGAACATTTTGGTGAGCATGCCTTGGACTAACAGTGAAAGAGCAGAGAAGGAAATTAAAGAATAGAGGGACAAGAAGGAAGAAGATATGGAGGTGCACTTCTCCTTTTCTAAATCCCAAATTAGCCATGAGTAAAACAAGAGAATATGGGAAGAAACTTCTGTTCTTAGAGCTGTAATAGAATAAAATGTCATAGTACAGTTGTATAAAATGTAAGACATAAAATGTAAAAAAAAATTATAAAAAATTCCCATGGTAATTTCTAGTCTCTGCTTAAGAACTGCTGAAAAAACAAAGTAAAATAAAATATAAAACCCTATCATCCCTCCGGGTGATGGTTTCATTGTCAAGCCACACTTCCTTTCAAGAAGTTTCTCCTGTTCAAAAGGAAACCTGTTCTATCAATGTGATGTGCTGAAGAGCTCATATATAATACTTTATATATAAAGATTGGAACTGCTTCTCTGCCCTTAGTCTTCAGCTGGCATGAAGAACGATGAAGAATAAACACATTCTATGTTTCAGTTTTTTCTTTGAATTGGAATAATTTCAGAACATAATATTCTGTTGTCACATTCAACTTTCTTTCAACATAGTTGAATGTATATATCTATATCTTTTCCAGGTTGGCACATTACGATTTTGTGGCATGACAGAATTTGCCAGCGGGCAGTGGGCTGGTATAGAATTGGATGAACCTGATGGCAAAAACAATGGTACTGTTGGAAGAGTGCAGTACTTCAAGTGTACTCCAAAACATGGTATTGCTTTTAATTTTTACATTTCTTCATATTTCTCCCACATCTCTCCCATTTTTTCATTTGTCTAATATATGAGTCTACCAGTGAAAATTATCCAAATAAGCACTTAAATAGTTATTGATATTTGTTTACTCTGCATGCTAATGTTGTATTTTATATTGATATTTCTTATTCCTATTTCCAGTACTGCTGTGTACTTTGGTTACTTGTGATATGCCCGAATTTATGTAGGGTATCTAAAATTGATATTTAATACATTGCTGTATTTGCTTACACCCTGCCTTGGGAAGTGGCAAGCAGCCCCAGAACTGGTGTGGTTCAGGGGCTTCTTGGTGTGCTGTGGCTCTGGGGCTGCAAGAATCCCCTGAGCTGTAGCACAGCACAAAGTTGCAACCTCTCCCAGCAACCACCAGCAAGTGGTACAACAATCTCCAGTGACTGGCAAGGGCCAGCAAGCCTTTGTTTGCCCAACAGCCTTCTTTCCCGGTTCCCCACACCGACCTTTCATTTTTTGCACCCAGCTGCAGCTCAAGTACAAGTGCCTTGCTGCCTTTGCTGTCTTTTTTCGGACCTGCAGCCACCGTGATACCCCAGGTGCTCCAGCTTCTCCAGCAAATGCTTCCTAAACATCCCCCTACCCCCACCCCCAAAGCCCGATCCAGCAGTGCAGTGCAAATTAGAATGCCAGCCAACGGGGAAGGCTGGAAATGGTTTCCCCCAATGGGAAGGCACCAGGGTTTGTCTCTTCCTACATGTGGCTCCCAGCCTCACAACATCTGAATGCAGAAGATGAAAGCTTGCTGTGGGGAACTGGGAGAGAAGGCAGCTGGGTGAATGAATGCTTGCTGGGGCTTCCCAAGTGCTGCATCTTGGTACCATAACTGTTGATCCGGGCTGGGGCAGCTGAAGCTTTGCACGATGCTGTGGCTCAGGGGCTTCTTGCAGCTCAGAACTACAGCAGCATGGCAAGCAGTTCCCAGAGCAGTGCATTTCTGGGGCTGCTTGCCATCCCACTAGGCAGGATACAGGGCAGTCTGAAGGGCAGAGATGGGGGAGATAGGCAAGAACCACTGGCGTTTGTTTAACAATGGTAACAGGGAGTGTTGGGATTGCCATCGCTAAGCGATGGAGCCACAGGTTGTCTTGCTTTACCACCACATTGTTTAGAGATGGAAATTCCGATCTCAATTGCGGTCATAAGCGGAAGACCACTTGCAGTTTTTTGTTTGATTGCATATTGCCTTATATTGCTTTCAGGTTTTGTTCACACATGAAAGCTTCTAGTTTCTTTGAATGTGCTGTACGAGCCTCTTTAAAAAAAAAAAGGATTGTACCTTATCATGTATCTTTTCTGCCAGGTATCTTTGCACCACTCTCTAAAATAAGTAAGATTTCTGGACACAAAAAAAGTACAAAAGCGTCTTCCTCACGACCTTTGCCTATAATCAAATCCAAGAAAATTGATGTAACCCACATAACCTCTAAAGTGAATTCTGGTAAGCATGGGGACACTTTACTTTGAAGTAAAAGAACATTTCAGGAAGCGTAACAATTTCCAGACCAAAATCAAAATTCATGGTTTGTAGGCAGCCTTTGTTTTCAGAGACTTAAGCAATAAAAGGTATTATAATGTTAGACTGACAAAGATTAATTAGGAATAAACCCAACATGCATTTATAATCAGGACTAATGTGTGTTTTCTTCTATTTTAATTGTTTTGCTGCCTTGGCATATTTAACAGACATTATCCATCTGTAGCTGTCTTAGGATTTAGATAAGAATCTTTCCCAGTCCTAAAGCTCAAAACTTTTAATGCAAAATAGGTGCTTAATGCACTGGGCAAGTACTCTGATCTTTTCTTTGTGTTCTGGATTCTTTTTCTGGAATTTGTATTTTCTTTTAAAATTTATTAATATTCAATCGTATATTTTTAGAGGCTAAATGAAATATTGCATTGTTGTTTTGTTTGCATGGAAGGTTGTATACTTATTAGGCTATATTCTTTTGGCAAATAATTGCTTATGGTGTACAATGCTTTTAAATTATTGTTTAAAAAATAGGCTTGGATATTTTCAAATGTGTTTAGTGCTAGCTTATATAAATGACAGATTACAATTGATATAATGTGAAAGAGCTTTGCTTAAAATCTCCTATAGTTTATTTAAAAGCAGACACATCTATTTATAAACTATTAAAACACTTGTCCCCATAACCTTTAACTGGGCAATATAATGCATCATTGAGCAACAGTTTTTGAACCAAAGTACCTCAAACGGGCTAATCGACAGAATGTGCCCAAAAGCCAGGACATGACTCCCATGGGATTGAAATTTGGCGAATTTTATAAAACATAAAATGTTTATAATGTAATAAAAGTATCTTAAAACATCTCCCGTGATAAACTTCTGATGTTTGATTGGGCTATACAGTTCAACCTGAGCTACTTTCAAGGCAGATATTTTTCTGAATATCGCTTTGAAGTTTTAAGAACTTTCAAATATATTAGAAGCTCTGCCATTTTTGAAGGCATTGAGGAATGTGGTAAGGAAATATCTCTGAAATGTTTACCCAAGGGTTATGGATTGTCTAGTTGCTACTGTATCTCTGAGATCTCTTCAACTGAAGATTGAAGAAGGCATGTTGATATAATATTGATTTTATTGGCTTGTGAAAGGCAAGAAAGGGCTTCATGTACCTGTAGCTGACTTTGGCACTGAGTCTTTCAATATTCCATTATTCTTTAGAGGGAAATAGAGGATTTGTATAAATATTTCTTTACATATTTAATTGTATCTATAAATGTTCAGAGAATATATACAGAGATGTTTTGGATGTGTTACTTAGATTGTGGTGCTTCATAGGTTTGGCTTGGCTTACAGGCTTATCCAGAAAAGATAGTACTTCCAATTCCACATTTGTAAGCAGTGAAGAAGTAAAGAAAACTGTATCAGGTAAACAAGGTAATGTGTCTTCCAGATATTTTTGGCTGTTATATTTGGTCTGGATAAGGGAAATCGATAACAATGCTCTATTGGTAATTTTAGATAAGATTCTCCATTCCTTGAAAATCTTATTTGCTTATGCCAGGATATATAATTATTTTTCAGTGGCACTTATTTATATATAGGAGTGCTTGGCTGGAAGGCTAATGAATTAAAACATGAATAATAATTCATCATTATTTCAGCCATAAACTGCTTTTGAATCAGATGGATTCTAATGCATATGAAGGAAGAGTCAGTAACTTGTTGGACTTTAATTGGTCCACTGGAGTGTTATCTTATCCCAACCAGCTGCTGGGCTTTATGCTTCTGTGTCTATTTCTGTTTAGCTGTGGAGAGAGCAGCCAAAGCAAAACTACTTTATTTTTTAGCTTATTTAGTGAAGGGAGTATTGACTTTGTAGAAGACCAAATTTCATTTTTTTTCCATTGGTAAGCTCCTAGCAAAGAAGTGCTGGAAAAGTGGCCAATGGCTTTAGGGAGTCCTCCACAATGGGTAGTTTCCTAGCCCTAGCCAAGCTATACTCTCTTAGTGAGGTACGTACTATTAATCCAATCTCACCCAGAAGCTGGGGAGAGCATGCACAGTTTAACTGACTATCCAAAATGGTGGCTGCTGTATTTGCCCACAGAGGAGAAGGGAGAGGAAAGATTGGAGGTAATGGTGGCAGTGGAGCTGGGTGTGGGTACTCTGCACATGGGCAGAGATGAATGTGATGCTACAAGGAAGAGCAGGTTGCCTACTGCTTGGTGCTGAGTCCACTTTCTGATATTTTGATTGAGAGGCTGTAAGTTACATTCTAGGGCCCTTTGCCCATTCTTCTCATTCTCTGATTCAAATACTGGGCCAAGGTTGAGTTAGCCTCTTACCAGAGAGCTTGCTGCAGAGTACGGCTGCTGCACACAGCCACAGCAGCAATTGCTGTCTTCATGTGAGGATAGTAACTTTACTGGCCTTATTCCTCAGGCAGGACAAAAGAGAAGCAGCGCTTTTCAAAATAGAATATTTTAGTCCTGTCTCAGAAGGAAAAGTGCGGGAGGGAAGGAGATCAATGGAGCTGTGAATAAGATTATTATTTAACAGTATAGATAATAATCTTAAATGTGCAGGTAATTATAAGTAGTCACAGTATTCATAAATAAGCGTATGCTATGGATCTCAATCCAATCCAACAACTAATGCAGTGAAATAAATCAATTGATAAAATATAAATAAATAAATCTGAATAAATCCAGCATGTTAAAATCAAACAAGAAAATAAATGAAATCCCACAGAGAAATAAACTGAATACTTGAAAAAGGAGGAAACATGAGTTTTACATGGTTAACATATACATCTTGGCTGTCACTGGTGGAGTGCCAAACTATGTCTCTGTCAGGCTCCTTCCTCATTGAGAGTCAAAAAGGGTTACACTTTCAGACATATTCAGACATTTCCTCCTATTTCATTATTTTATTGTTTCTGAAATTATCCTTATAATATACCCTTTTAACACTAAGACAGTAGCATTCACTAAGTTACAGAGGAATGGAATGGGGTGTGACTGGTAAAATGCTTGGTCCTTTGATACCAATCTCTCTCTGCTGTTAGAGATGCTCCATCTCTTTCATTGCACTGTAATTTTTCATCATGTTCTGTAGTGGAAAACTTTGTTCATGAAATAGGATGTTCTCTTGTAAAGGTTATGAACCTTGCTGAGGATCTCAAGATGCTTGGCAAAATACTAGTTCAAGGTTCTAATACTTATATAGATCAGGGGTAGTCAACCTTGGCTCTTTTATGACTCGTGGACTTCAAAGGTTGACTACCCCTGATATAGATTGTGATTAAGGGTACATGAAAGAAGGAGCTACAGCTACTTGAAAGCTCTTTGTGATGTTTTCCATACTTGGTACTTGTGCTTCCTAAAGCCCACATTCTGTTTGTAACTAAAAGAAAAGCTAGCATTATCTCCAGGACTAGGGATGAATAACCTCAGGCCTAATCATCAAAATCTTTAGTGTCAGGTAAAAAGTGCCAGAAGAGGAAGTTATAGAAAGAAGAGACAGATAGACATAAATCTTGATAAGGAGCTTGTACATCAACATTTCACAAATTGAAAGGAAAGTGATTTACCTTCCAATCTTACTTTATAGACAGGATTTTAATATTAATATGATGCATAACAGCATGCTGTAGGCACTAGTCCATGCACTTCATAATTCATCTACAAAATGTCATTCCCCCTGTTTCTCATCAAAGATTTAATAGACTAGCTATCAAAAGCAAAGAACCGAGATTTTTTATTACTTAAGGCTGCATTATTTTTACATTTATGCTCTAGGCTTACAAGTATTACATATTAGTAACATAGACTTGAAAAACTAAGTGGTATCCATCATGATCAGTTAGTTTTATGCTCACAAGGAATGAAAAATGTGACAAAATGACACTTCTTTCATATGTTTATGTGTTTTCTAGCTGAATAATTTTGTTTTATTATTTTTAGCAAATTACCTTGGATCCAGTAGCTCTTCATCCTCAACTGTATCATTAGACAGCAAGCTGAATTGTCCCAAGAAATGTAATTCCACAAGTAATAATAAGAAGGAAAACATGAAAGACCACCCAATTTCATCCAAATCTATGGCTGGTACATTTTCCCCCAATTATTTGTTGTAATAGACCATTATAAGGATAGAGATATGGGAAGATTGAATATCTAAAGCTCTAATACAGCTGTTAAATTCTATAATACTTGAGATTTCCAGGTAAGTTTTGTTGTTCCTGGAAGTGTGAGTGAAGTGGCAAGGGAATATTTGGTAAGTGCAGTTGACCTCAGATCACCAGCCCAGCTGTGGGCCTTATGTAAACTCTGTGCAAAACTTCATTTTTCTAGTTTATACTTAATGGGAAAAAAGTAATTTTCCCAAATTTTCTTATGTTCCCCCAATATCAGAGAATGCTCCAATTGTGGTCTCTGTGCCTGCATAGATAACTAGGCTCAATTTTCAAAGCAGCTATCTTAGCTTTCCACAGGATGCAGCTGCTTTGTTGCTATGAGGTCAGATGCTTCTGACTGCTTTATGTAATCCTGGGAAATATATCTTATCTAAAAATCATTAGGATTGGCTGTGGAAGAAAATAGATTATCACAAATGGTAGCAGGAGCTAAGATAATTTCTCTGGCTGAAATTGTTTGGATTTCACATATTTGAAGTGAATTGTAAAGTAATATAAGCCTCTTCTATAGTACCAATCTTAATTTCCTATATTTGTAGGTAATTGTCTTTGCTAAATTTTAAAATCACACAGATATAATATATTACTCTTATACTGTAATTCTATTTAATGCTGTGAGAGCATAAATGATTGTGATGAGCCTATATGTGAATAATGAGTTCATAAGTATTTTCTTATTTTATGTAATTTGTATATCTCCTGCATTTTGTGAACCCAATTGAACAGAAGGAAACAATACTTTTCTATCTGCAAAGAAAAATGCATTTGAGGAAGGGGAAATTCAGATTGGAGAAAGAGTACTGGTGGTTGGACAAAGAACTGGAATAGTTAGATTCTATGGGACAACCAAGTTTGCACCAGGTAACTTTATTGTTTATCACATGTTTGCCTTTCAGTTTCCATTAAAATATGTAATGTAGTTTTCATAAACAGTATAGAACAGACATGTCAAACTTGCGATGTCACGTGACGTCGCGCAACGTATTGGAGCTTTTTCGCTGTTGCCGGTAATGGGGTGGGCACGGCTCCGGTATGATGAAACCGGCCCACGGGCTGGCAATTTGACACCCCTGGTATAGAATATCAATTAAATATTTACAGTTAATAAAATAATGAATAGATTTACAGTAAAAACCAATAGCAATTACACTAAACATCAATAGTAATTAATTAGCTAATTGATGTATAAAGTCAGCTACTACCTAAAACTCAATAAATTATTAATTGATAATTTCTGAAGAAAATATTCTGCTACAAATGTATTAGTGTAGAATCAACTTTTTGTTTTCCTGTTGGAAATGATGAAGGAATTTCTCTGAGCATTTAAATTGTGTCCAGAAATATATCAGGATGGGACACATTAGAGATACATTGGAGGGGACCTAACTGAAAAAATGACTGTCCTAAGTCTTACAAAAAGACTGAAGAAGTTGAGTTGCTAGTCAGCAACAATAATTGAGCATGTCTTCTCTTTCTTCAAAAGATTGTACTTGGTAGCATTTTAGTTCAGCTGAGAGAATTTAAAGTACAATATCCTAAAACTTATTTAAATGCATAGTTACTGATAAACTTGCAGATGTTACAGTTGCCTCTGAAGCACTGATTGTTCCTCTAATCTGAAAACTCTGATTTTAAAGCTTTGTTGTTCTTCCCTAGATTGAATTGCAGATTTAGCAATTGATATCCTACTTTCCTCTCCTTATTCCATCAGCTTCTTTGTATATGTAATGGAGTTAAATACTAAAATGCAAACAAATCTTGAGAGAACGCTGTTGCCTTGATAGTTTACTGAAGTTGATTTATTTATTTGAAACAGCTTTTCCCCTTTGGTTCTGCAGATTCAAACTGTGAGGAACATTTCTTTTCAAATGAAACTCTTTTTAATGAACAATAATACCCCGTTTGAAAATAAAAAAAGTATTTCTTGTTGCAGGGCTTTGGTATGGCATAGAACTGGATAAACCTCGTGGCAAGAATGATGGCTCAGTTGCAGGCATACAGTACTTCAGATGCCCCCCCAGATACGGTGTTTTTGCACCACCCTCTAGAGTGCAAAAGTAAGTGCCGTAGACTGTGGTTTCAGCATCAAATCTATTTTATTGTATTACTTTCATTCAGAAACCTTTTCTGGTTGGGGAGAAGCCTAGGTCAGTATCACTCTTGCCAAACTGTAGATTCTTGGTGCTGTCTGAGCTTGGTGGTTTTCTTGCCGAGGTTTCATTACCAAGCTAGGTGACATCATCAGTGCAATATTCTCTTCTATCAAATTTTGATTATCCTTATTCTGCTATAAGCTTGGCCAAAGAAACTAATAAGTCAAGACTAATGTGAGATAATAAAGTTCAGTTGTATTTTGAATTTCTTTTTAATAAAAGTAGTTGCATCTGATGTCAGTATTTGGAATCTCGTAATTGAAAGAAAGATTTCTGAAATCTTCATTTAACTTCTAGTGCTATAAAGAAGAATGAAATGATTGATGGGGAGGCTTGAAGGGCCAGAATGGAAACAGATCTACCTATGTGGGCATTCAGAACTGACACTGCTTTGATGGCACTTTGGTTACTATTAACTAAATTAAGAATAGAGTAGAGTAATAATAATAATAATAATAATAATAATAATAATAATAATAATAATAATAATAATAATAATAATAATAATAATAATAATAATAATAATAATAAAGTTGGAAGGGACCTTGGAGGTCATCAAGTCCAACCCCCTGCTCAGACAGGTAACCCTATACCGTTTCGGACAAATGGCTGTCCAGTTTCTTCTTAAAAACTTCCAGTGTTGGAGCATTCACCGCTTCTGGAGGCAGGTTGTTCCACTGGTTAATTGTTCTAACTGTCAGGAAGTTTCTCCTTAGTTCTAGGTTGCTTCTCTCTTTGGTTAGTTTCCACCCATTGCTTCTTGTCCTGCCTTCAGGCGCTTTGGAAAATAGCTTGACTCCATCTTCTTTGTGGCAGCCCCTGAGATATTGGAACACTGCTATCATGTCCCCCCTCATCTTTCTCTTTGTTAAACTAGACATACCCAATTCCAGCAACCGTTCTGTATATGTTTTAGCCTCCAATCCCCTAATCATCTTTGTTGCTCTTCTCTGTACTCTTTCTAGAGTCTCAACATCTTTTTTACACCATGGTGACCAAAACTGGATGCAGTATTCCAAGTGTGGCCTTACCAAGGCATTGTAAAGTGGTATTAATACTTCACGTGATCTTGATTCTATCCCTCTGTTAATGCAGCCTACCACTGTGTTGGCTTTTTTGGCAGCTGCAGCACACTGCTGGCTCATATTTAAGTGATTGTCCACTAGGACTCCGAGATCCCTTTCACAGTTACTACTATTGAGCAAGGTACCCCCTATACTATACCTGTACATTTGGTTTTTCTTGCCTAAATGTAGAGTAGAGTAGAGTAGAGTAGAGTAGAGTAGAGTAGAGTAGAGTAGAATAGAATAGAATAGAATAGAATAGAATAGAGCTGGAAGGGACCTTGGAGGTCTTCTAGTTCAGCCCCCTGCTCAAGCAGGAGAACCTATACCATCTCAGACATGACTGTCCAGTATCTTCTTAAAAACCTCCAGTGATGGAGCACTCACGATTTCCGAAGGCAAGTTGTTCCACTATTGGTTACGATTAACTAAATTGCAGACAGTATTCAGTGTTGTGTATGAGAGGGACTTTGAGGTGGCATAGAGACTAGAAGAGAAAATACCATGGTGGGAAAATAAGGGGAAATAGTGGCAAATGAAAGTGCACACCTGAGGCTAAAACACTGAGGTTAGGTTGAGGAGTATCTTGGAGAAGGTGCAGTGGAAAATTGAAATTAACACACAGACAGCATAAACGAATGACATGAATTCAGGATAAACAATAAATTCTTTACAGAGAAAAAAAGAACAAAGAAGCACCTGTGTTGTCTGCAAGACAAAAAGTTGGAATGGAACCATTTACATATTTACATATTTTGTTACATATTTTCCACATTTTGGAATTGTGATTCTCTTAGCAGTAGTTGCTTTTGGGGATTCATAGCTACTTAACTACAAAAGGTGAAAACAGAATTTTCTGCTGCTGCAGAGTATTTGATCCCTGAAATGCTTTATTTAGGGAGCTTCAATAGGTATTTATTCTGTCCTTCTTGCATCTGGGGAATGAGAATCATGGGGACAGTGTGAATCATGGGGAAAACTATTTCTCTCTTCTAAAGACCCATTTCCAGTTTGGCCTTCCATTACCAGTTTTTCTGCAGTGATGTCCCAGCATTTCATTCTTGATCATGTTAGACCAATTTTCTTCAACTAATAAAAGGATCTTGATTCAGGATTAAGAGGAGTACTATAGGGTGAATCGATCTTCAGAGCATTACAGGTAAACCTCGACTTACAAGAGTTATTTAGTGACCATTTAAAATTATAATGGCACTGAAAAATGTGACTTACGACAGTTTTTCACAGCTTTGTAGCATTCCCACGATCATGTGATCAAAATTCAGATGCTTGGCAACGGATTCATATTTATGAACATTGATGTGTCCCAAGGTCAGGTGATCCCCTTTTGCAGCCTTCTGACAAACAAAGTCAATTCACTGCAGTGATTCACTTAACAGCTGTGGCAAGAAAGGTCATAAAATGGGGCAAAACCCACTTAACAACAGAAATTTTGGGCTGTTGTTTTGGGAAAATTATATTCTGATTTCAGAAAATTCAATCCAGAGTATGTTATCTGCTGAAGGGTGTTTATCAGTGCTAGAGTAAAGGAAGAATTATACTGTTTTTCTTTTTCTTTTGTTATCTTGAGTGAGAAAAAAATAATACATGATTTCATTTGCAGGCTAACAGGATCACTAGAATCTCTCACAGATACTTCAAGTAAAATGAATCATTCTTTCCCTGGTAAGAATACAACATGAATCTGTTTTTGGTTTTTATTATCTATGCAAATTGCAGAAATTGTAGATTCTTGAAGATGATATATTTGCTATTGATGTAAAATGAGAATGAATTGGGAAAACAAATGTTATATCCTTTTTCTTTCTTTTATTTTTTTTAAGCATTTCTGGATTTAAATATGTTTTTTTAAGAAGAGTGGATTTTTTGTGAGATTGCAGAGATTTATAGATTGTATTTCTAGGTTCCAGGGTTCTATAGATATATCTTTGTGAAATGCAGTTAAAAACTTAAATGTTGAATGTATACTTTATTTTACATATTTTTGTATAAAACCCAAAGTGTGTGATTTTATTATTAGTATTCTAATATTAATATTAGATTCTGAGTTAATATTCTAATTCTGAGGTATCTGTTGAAGATCAATCCACAAGTGTTCATTATTTTAAGTATTTCAGTTCAGAGATTAAGTTTAAAGTTTCATGTTAGAAAAAAAATATATATTTTCAATACAGACTGAATCAATAGCAAATTAGAAGTTAACTACTTTAGCTTTTTTGTGCTGTGTTTTTTAATGTGTATATACCAGTATATTTATAAATACTCCCTGTAACTAGTTGTTTATGGAGATTCTTAGTCACCTAAGTCATAGTTATCCCAAAGATGCTTTTTTTTTTCATGAGGCAACTAGACTTTCTTGTTTTTCTTTAAAGACATTTTGCTTCTCATCCAAGAAGCTTCTTCAGGTCTGACTGGATGGTGGGGAAGCTTCTTGAATGAGAAGTGAAATGTCTTCAAAGAAAAATAAGAAAGTCCAGTTGCCTCGTGAAAAAAAGAATCTTTGGGATCCTTGAAACTAGGTTGGTTATTAGGCATAGTGGCTGGGAATATTAGAATAATAGATTTGGAAGTGGAAGGGGTCATTTAAGCTTCAAAACCAATATCCAAACTTAATGCAGAAATGCAAATTGAATCATCTGTGAAAGATGGCTGTGTAGTTTCCATTTTAATACACTGAGCAAATGAGACTTCACTTTTGCAAGTTAGTTGTATTTTTGAATTGCTCTCATTTTCTCTTTAGCATTCAGTTGGAATCTGCCTTCTTGCATCTCAGATTCATGAATTCATATTTTATACTTGGAACCTGGATAGAGAACAATTCTTTTGCTTTGATATATTTTCAACTATTTTAAAGTATGCTACCATATCCTGCTTCAGTCTTCTCAGGATTAAGTTAACCTAGTTTCTTAATTTCTCTCCCTACATCATCTTCATTGTTCTTCTCTGAATTTTTCTATGAATCCTTCTTAGAGTTCCCAGAATTAGACAGACTGCTTAAGGTGAAGTTTGACTAACATGATAGCTGTTTCCAATTTGTGGGGCACTTCAATTGATACCTTTCTTCATCTTGACGATGATTCATTGATAAGTGTACATTTGAGCCAACCGTGTTGTCATGTAATTGTGAGGCTGACAAGTCCACAGTTGACTATCTTGTTAATCAAATTATGATGGGAGAGGGCATTTTTAAAAAAATCTTTGCTGAAATTACATCTATATAATTACAAAGTACTAAAGAAGTTACTACATCAAAAGATGCAATGATAGTCTGATCGGGTTTCTTCTTGACAAGTCCATATTAACTTCTTAGTGCATTATTTTCAAGGTGTAAATTTTTACAATTTGTTCTGTCTCTTCCCAGGCTTCAGTATCAGACTGGCCAGGTTGTAGTTCCCTGGTTCCTCTTTTTTCTCCTTTTGGTAGATGGATATTTAGTTCTTTTCTACAGTAGTTAACTGACGCTTTGCCAGTTCCCCAGTATTACTTACAGATAAACAATCGACTACATTGGTGGCAAGTTCTTTCATTACCC